TCATGTCCATTGAGTCAGGGACACTATCTAACCATCTCATCCTCTGCCCACCTCATCTCCTTTTGCTTTCAATCGTTCCCAGCATGAGGGTTGTTCCCAATGAGCTGGCTCTTCACATCAGGTGGGCAAAGTATTGGAGCACCAGCTTCAGCATCAGTCCTTCCAATGAATATTCAGGACTGATTTCCTTTAGCACAGACGGGTTTGATCTCCTTGCTGTCCAAGAAACTCTCAAGAGTCTTCTCCAGCACAATCTGAAAGCATCAATTCTTTGGTGCTCAACCTTTTATGGTCCAACTATCACAGTCATATAGTATGACTACTGGAAAAACCATAGCTTTGACTATATGGACAATTGTTGGCAAAGTGGTGTCTCTGCTTTTTAATACAATGTCTAGGTTTGTTATAGCTTTCCTTCTAAGAAGCAGGTATATTTAAATTACATGGCTGCAGTCATCGTCCACAGTGATTCTGGAACCCAAGAAAATAAAATCTGTCACTGTTCCTACTTCTCCCCATCTATTTGCCATGAAGAGATGGGACCAGATGACATGATCTTAGTTTTTTGAATGTTAAGTTTTAAGACAGATTTTTCACTCTCCTCTTTCACCTTCATCAAGAGGCTCTTTGGTTCCTCTCTGCCTTCCACCATTGCAGTGGTATCATCTGTGAATATGAGGTTGTTGACAACCTGTAATCCTCCTTTCTCTGTTTCTTCCCGTATTCTGGATGTTTCCAATAAACGCCTACCAATGAAACCATAGAAAAGGGGGCTTTTTCTGACTGCCCACATAATTTAAGACTGGACTAGGGTACTCTTGCTTTTGATTTCATTTGAGATAGCCTTTTGGTATCGGAAAGGGCAGTTCACGTGGTTTTGAGATGTCATCTGCAAAATGAAGCCTTATTGGCAAAGATGGGTAGGCACTGCTGTTCTAAGTGTGACAACTCAGCCAAAAGGGAAATGCTGAGCTCTTCCGCTGGCGCAAACAAACTCACAAAAATAAACCAAGCAGGAGAACTGGAAAGATAAACTCACACCAACAAAGGGACAAGCGTTCCTCATAAGACAAGGCCAGAGAGAGACCCAATATCCTGTGGCCCCCATATGCTCTAGAAAATCAATGTTCTCTAAGGAAACAGAAGAAACATGTGCAGGTCCAGTGAGCGGCAATGCACACGGCTAGTGCAGCTCAGAGACGGCCTGACGCTTCGGATGTACACGCGGGCAAAGGTAAACACAGTGCGGAGAGCGGTGGTCATCGTCTCAGCGCTAGGTGCTCAGTATGGTGACAACCAGCCTTTGGGACCACAAGAGGGAGCAGAGGTCCTAGCAGAGCCCATAGACATCTCTCTTGCTCTCTGGGAGAAGAGTGTGCAGGACCCATCAAAGTCCCACAGATGCGTCTCTTTACTATCAGTGCCCATTCTCAGGGTGGATCCCACTCCACTTCTGGCACAGTTTTTCCTGTCATCTTAGATGCTCACCTTTGGCGGTCCAAAGCCGAAGGCCTGGTGGGCGCCTGCGGAGACTAAACTCCCTTCAGCTGCTCACACAGCCAAGGGCACACAAGAATGCCTGTGGCCTGTGGCTCATAGATGTAAGATCAGCACCCTGTCAATCCAACCTGGGGGTTGGTGCTGAAAGTGAGGCTGCACCTGAGTAACCTTTCACTGGACACAGTGTCCCTGCTGGTAGAACTGCTGAATCCATTAAACTGTGGAAATTCTAACTGAACAACAACCATCTTTCCGATAAGGTCTCCAAAAGAGTTTAGGAGCAATGAATTTGGAAACCAGAGGGGATGACATGAATGTAGATGGAAACTGAACACCTTACAACAAATTCACTTCAAATTATTCCTAGACCTACTTTCCACGCAAAACACATCACAAATCCAGAAGGAAATCGAGCAGAAATTAGACATGAGCTCTGAGTCTTCACAAACAATACAAAAAGGCAGTACACAAAGAATAACAAGGGAATACAGTAAATTTGTAAAATCAAAGATTTGTATTCTGGTAAAGACCTTATGAAAAATGCAAAGGACACATCACGAACTGGGAGACAAATATTTGCAAACACACAGCTTATAAAGGATTTGTCTCCTAAAACATCACTTCATGGCAAATAGATGGGGAAACAGTGGAAACAGTGTCAGACTTTATTTTGGGGGGCTCCAAAATCACTGCAGATGGTGATTGCAGCAATGAAATTAGAAGATGCTTACTCCTTGGAAGGAAAGTTATGACTAACCTAGATAGCATATTAAAAAGCAGAGACATTACTTTCCCAACAAAGGTCTGTCTAGTCAAGGCTATGGTTTTTCCAGTGGTCACATATGGATGTGAGAGTTGGACTGTGAAGAAAGCTGAGCACCAAAAAATTGATGCGTTTGAATTGTGGTGTTGGAGAAGACTCTTGAGAGTCCCTTGGACTGCAAAGAGATCTAACCAGTCCATCCTAAGGGAGATCAGTCCTGGGTGTTCATTGGAAGGACTGATGCTGAGGCTGAAACTCCAATACTTTGGCCACCTCATGTGAAGAGTTGACTCATTGGAAAAGACCCTGATGCTGGGAGGGATTGGGGGCAGGAGGAGAAGGGGACAACTGAGGATGAGATGGCTGGATGCCATCACCGACTTGATGGACATGAATTTGAGTAAACTCCGAGAGTTTGTGATGGACAGGGAGGCCTGGTTTGCTGCGATTCATGGGGTTGCAAAGAGTCAGACATGACTGAGCGACTGAGCTGAACACAAAGAACATTGACACCAACGAGCCTGAAGGAAAGGTATGAAGGGACACCAGGCTAAGGAAGGCAGATGGAGAGCACACCGAATGACACCCAGCACTGAGGGCCTGAGAAACATGGTCCAGCTGCACTCCCCGAGCCCTGTGTGACCCTGGACTAGGCCTGTTCTACCTGGAGGCTCAGACAGATGGACAGGGAAGAAGGGGAAATCATTTGCATTTCTAACACTCACAGCAAACGTTTAGAATGAGAAGCTAAGTATCAAGCCCACTGACAATGACATTCTGAAAGGAAATACCTAGGAGTCCATCTAACCCAGGAGGGAAGCACCTGTTCTCAGAGAACTGCAAGAGATGGATGAGAGAAGGTGCAGTCCATATGATCCAATGGAAAATAAGCTGTGCTCATGGACTAGAAGAATTCCTATTGGTAAAATGATGTCATACTGCCCTCCCTACCCCCACCGCCATGGGGCAATCCAGAGGGTCCATGCTATTCCTCTCAAAATACCAACGGATATTCTCAGGAGATTATAACCAAAGAATTCCAAAATGTGTATGGAAACACAAAGGAGCCAAAATAGTCAATAAAATCTGGTGAAAAGCCCCGAAATGGACATACCAGGCTGCCTGATAGCCAGTTAGACTACAGCACTAGGATCATCAGGACGGCATGGTACTGGTAATAAATAAAACACACAGGACCAGATCCATGGATTAAAGTTGAGAGTCCCGAAATAAACCCAAGCTTCTATGGTCAATTCATCTACTACAAAGGAGGGGAGAATATACAAATGGGAACAAGAGCTTCTTCAATAAAAGGCCATGGGAAAACCAGACAGTTACATCTGAACAATCACATTGGCTTTTGGTCTCATAACACCTCAGATTCGGTGAAACACATTAATGCAAAGACTGAAGTTATGAAACTCCTTGAAATAAGCATGGGCCATAGGCCCCTTAATGTCAGGGGCTTCTGAACATGTGGTGGGGGGAAGCAAAAATGGGTCTCTTCAAGTAAAGGAAACAGGAAACCAAAGTACATCAACAGGCTTCCATTCAATTGAACAGCTTTGCAACAGAAAAGCTAAGCATTTGCAAATCAAAATGGTACCAAACTGAACATGAAAGAATATTTGGAAGCAGAATATCTGATAAGGGGTTCATACGTAAAATAGACTAAGAACTCACACCACTAAGTCTCCCAGAAACAACACCAAACCTATCCCTTCGCCTAACACCATCTCCAACCCCAAACCTTTATCTCACTCTAAACTAAACCCTAAAGCCTAAAACCCTAAGTGAACAATATACATGCGTACATGCATTCATAGGCATGCATGCATCCACAGGAGAGAGACAGAGAGGAAGAGACAGACTGAGCTTAGAAAGGTCAAAAAAGAGACGGATCTAGAGAGACTGAACCATGGAGAAAGGAAATGAGTAGATTTCACAGAATTTGCATGAATCTATCTTGAGGTTTGAACCAATCACAGTGCCTATTCACCCTGCAAGGGGCGAAATGACCCAAGGTGATGGGAGTAAAAGACAAGGATGCTGGGAGACATTGTAGGGGCAGCCTCCCCCTCCCCTAGAGGCTGAGATGGGACACTTGAACCAGAATCTCAATGGAACAGAAGGACAAGAAAGGTTGGTATCAGAGGCAGTGATGTCTGAATGTTACTTTCTAGTCCTCCCAATGGGGGGTCAAGAAGCAGGCAGGAAGGGGAGTGCCTCTTCCTAGGTCCCAGAGCCCATCCAGGCCTGTTTCTGCACCATTCTGTGCTGTGTCAGTCCTGCACTGAATCTTTCCTGTGTGAAAGTCTCAGTGCACAAGCACCATGTGATACAAGCCCACAGTCTGAACAGGAACTGCAGCTGCTCATAGGCCAAGATACCTGGGCAGGAGATGGGAGAATGACCCAACTCTGCAGACGGAGAGACTGGGGAAGCCCTGAGGGGCACATGCTTGTCCAGGGCTACATCACTTATGAGAAGGAGGAGCCTGGTCTGAAAGCAGTTGTGTCCTCAGAGCTCAGGCCCTGGTGGCACCCAGGCCTCCCCAAGGCTGAGGGCTGGGCAGTGTGGGTGTCACTGTGCCCGCATGTGGCCTAAGCGGATGGGTGAACAGTCAGAAACCCCGAGGTTCTCTTGGGGAGGTTTGTGTAAGGGACCTCAGCAATGAATCCCAGGAAATGATGTCACTTCCCGGCAACAGAACCCAGCAGAACCCGGAACCCGGGAATCCAGGTCTCCAGGGCAGAGAAGAGACCCCAGCAAGATCACTTGCTGCCAAGATGTTCTGCTGTTTGCCCCTGCCCAGAGGCCGGGGCCTCAGGAGGGCTCACAGGCAGAGTGTGTGGGATCGCTGTCGATGCTGGCTCAGAGCCCCCCGAGGAAGCCTCTGGCCCTTTGTCCGAAGGAATAGAGAGGTAACATGGAAGAACCAGGCGAGGCCAGGTCCCCTCTCCCATCCCACCCGGGTAACCCTGAGTTCTTTCCCTGTGGGTGTGGATGGGGTTTCTGGGGGTGTGCCGGCCTCCAGCAAGCCCAGGCAGATGTGGGGTCAGAAGCCTGTGGTCTGGTGGTATCCATACCCCAGGAGAGAGCAGGCTGGTCGGAGCCCCACCCCGCTGCCCGTGAGGCCCAGTGCAGGCTCCAGGTGAGCGTGCCCACGGAGGGGTCAGCCCAAGGGGAAATGGAGAGGAAGCAGGGAAGGCCTGCTGCCCAGACACCACCCAGGACACACCCTGGGGCCCAGTCTCGGGCTGCTACGGGGCTCAGCACACCTGGCTCCGACCCAGAGCCCCGAGGACCCAACCCTCTGAGGCAGCACGAGGACCTGGAGCCCAGCGCGGCAGAGCACACAGGTGAGGAGGCTGGGGCTGGGAATCTGAGTGTGTGGGGAGGGGTGCGGAGCTTCCCAGGGAGGAGTCCCCCAGAGCTGGGGCTGGGCCTGGAGCAAAGGCTGGCCTCAGACTACCCATCTTGTAGACTGCAGTCAGAGAAGACATCCTATGCTGGGTATTCTTAGGGAATCTCAGGGAAGCTTTAGTGCCTAGTTAGGCACATGGCAATGCTGGCCTGTGGGCAAACTTTTCTTCTCTCCCAGCTCTAGCTCTGACCTTCAAATATAACCAGGCTCCACTTCCAAGCCCTATCCCCACAGAGGTGGTTGCTACATGTGCAGGACCCAGGGATCCACTGAGGGGAGGTCGAGACTTGAGCCTTCTCCTCCCAAAGACACCAGGCCAGCTGGGTACTGGCCAACATCCTGAGAAGATCGGACCTCTGTGCCTGCATGACCGCCAGTCGCAGGCACCCATGTCCCACCCCCTCAGCCTGAACGTCCACCTGCACCTGCACCTGCACCTGCACCTGCTCAGGCTTTGGCAGGAGAACCTGACTCAGGGCATGAGTTACCACCTCTGCTGGGAGAGCCCACCCTGGCTCCTGCTCAAGACCCAGACGCCCACGATGACTGACCAACCGCTGCAGGGAGAACGGGCCCCTGTTCTGGACAGAGACCCGGAGTCCGTTCCGGAAACACCAGGTCCAGGGGAGCCGTGGGCTCTGCGGCCGCGATCCCTGTCTGCCTCCCGTGGATGCCATCACCTCGCTCCCCACCCAGGGGAGACTGAGATCCCTTCCCTTGAGGGTCTTTTCATCTGGTTTGTGTGTAGCCTTCTTGTGATTTTTTTTTATGGCTTTATGTATTTTTTTCTGTTAAGATTTATTAATAAATTTTACCTTAATTGATGCAATTTGGGAATATTAAGGCCTTCACAATGCTGTGTAACCATCACCACTGTCTACTTTTGGACCCTCTCATTCTATCCCCCAAACTTCCCAGCAAAGCCTGGATTCATGTCAAGCACTTCCCATTCCTCCCTCACCCTGGCTCCTGACAACATTTAGTCTTCTTCCTTCTCCATTTCTTCCCATCCCTTCTGTGTCCCCAATCAATGCCAATCACTGAAATGATAGAAAACTGGATTTTTTTCTGACTGAATGTGAAAGTTATAATCTCTCAGTCTTGTTAGACTCTTTGCAACCCCATGGATTCTACAGTCCATGGAATTCTCTAGGCCAGAATAGTGGAGTGAGTAGCTTTTCCCTTCCCCAGGGGATTTTTCTGACTCCCCACATATTGTAAGACCAAACTTGGGAATTCTTGTTTTTATTTCATTTGAAGTAGGCTTTGGGTATCTGAAAGGACAGTGTAGGTACTTTCAAGATGTCATCTGGAAAATGAAGCCCTTTCGGCAAATGTGGTCAGAATCTCCAGGTAGGCATTGCTGTTGTAAGTGTGATATCTCAGCCAAAAGGGAGATGCTGAACTCTTCCTCTGGCACAAGCAAATTCACAGAATAAGCCAAGAAAGAGAGCTGGAAAAAAGAACCACACCAGCAACCGAAAAACGTTCCTCATGAGACAAAGCTAGAGAAAACCCAACATCCTGTGACCCAAAAACCCTCTTGAAAATGAATGTTTAGTAAGGAAGAGAAGAAACACGTGAAGTTCCAAGGAGAGGCCATGCGCATGGCCAGTGTAGTTTAGAGACAGCCTGACCAACCAGAGGAAGACACACTCCAGTGTAAACCCTTTGCAGACAGCAGTGACGGTCATCACCACGGTAAGTGTTTAGTCTGGTGACAACCTGCTCTGGGCACCAGACAAGGGAGCAGACGTGGTTCTCTTCCTCTGCCCCCACACCACTCCCTCATGAAGGCAGCTCAGGTGCTTTTGGGACCTGCCTGCCTGTCTGGCTCAACCGTGACCTGTGACCACCTCCAGGGCAGGAGTCCACCTTCTCTTCTCTATGCACCTTGAACACGCACACAGTGGGCCTTCAGAACTTCAGGAGACTCGCCCCACCCCCACTATAGTCAGAAGCCTCCCCAGGCATCACAACGCCTGTGGAGTCACTTTGGCCCAAGCCCTAGTTCTGGATCCCTGGAGCCTACTACAGCCTCTATGGTGAGAGTAATCAGGTCTTTTATACACAGATTCCCAGCTGTCAGATCTGAGTTTTGGATTCACAGTCAGCTCAGTCCCTCCCGTGGCAGCCAGGTGGGCCATGATGCAGGTGAAGGAGCTCACGAGCTGAGTTTCAAGGGAGTCATTGAAAGGACAGTGGTGGATACAACCTGTTGCAACCTGAGGGACGGTCCCTGCATGACTCAGAAACGGCCTCTGGTGTGCAAGTGCGGAGGAGGGCCCCCATGGGTGCAAAGGAAAGAGAGGAACCACCTGGCCAAGGCTCTTGGCCCCTCCTGTGGCAGCTCCAGTTGGTAGCCCATGAGCAGTGGACAGCCAATGTGGTCACATGGGCATGACTCTAATTTCCTCACACAGCAAGAGAAAGGGGGCAGGGTGAGGGAATACCCGGAGGGTGCGCTGGGTGCATGAAGGGAGGTGCCCTTCCTCTCTTCAGTGCAAACTGCTTTTCTGAGTCTCAGAGCTGCCAGACGGCAGTTACCAAGTCAGTTCCCCACAGTACCCAGTGTGGGCTGGGTGCCTTAGCCCCTGTCACAGGACAAGCCCCACCATGTGGCCTCCCTGAGTTCTAACAGCAGGAACTGGGGCTTTGTCTGGGTACACACTTCCTTGCAGTACCTGAGTTACCCCCTTCTTGGAGCCTCAGTTTTCTTCTCTAGAATAAGGACATAACCTACCTTAGCAGGTTGCTACCTTAATCCTGTGAAGACTCTTTAGGGTAATCATAGAATAAATAGCTGGCCATAAGAGATATTTGACTTCCCTGATACCTCAGCTGGTGAAGGATCCTCCTGCAATGCAGGAGACCCTGGTTTGATTCCGGGGTCGGGAATCCTGATCCGCTGCCGAAGGGACAGGCTACCCAGTTCAGGATTCTTGGGCTTCCCTTGTTGCTCAGCTGGTAAAGAATCTGCCTGCAATGAGTGAGACCTGGGTTCGATCCCTGGGTTTGGAAGATCCCATCGAGAAGGGAAAGGCTGCCCACTCCAGTGTTCTGGCCTACAGAATTCCATGGACCATATAGTCTAATGGGTTGCAAAGAGTCGGACATGACTGAGGGACTTTCACTTCACTTTCGAGAGATATCACCTGAATCCAGATTAGACTGGAGTCTCCAGTGTCATCTGGCATTTCTTCCCTGTAGCCAGCCAAAACCCACACAGTTGCATTTCCAGGGTCTCCACTTAGCCCGCTGGACAGAAAACCCAGCATAGTTGAAACAAGCTGACAGACAAGCAGAAGAGGACTCACAGGCAGACGACTTCTCTCAGGTCTCAGGTCGAGCTCCGGGACCCCAGCAAGAACTGGCGCTCAGCAGCGCCCTCGTCCATAGGCGGCGGCTCTGCCCTGACTGGAGCAGGAAGGCCACCAAACCGCCCCAGGCCGACCTCACGCCCCTCCCACTACTGTAGGCTGACATTACCCGGCCCCACCCCTTCCGGCAGAAGGAGAAATCCTCTTCCCCTTGATTCCTGCAGGAGGCCCGGCCCTGAGCCCTGATTGGTCACTTCCCCAGTCCCTAACCAATCACGGTGGCCAGGGAGGATGGAACACATCGATTGGCCAGGTCCAGGTCATGTGACCATACTGTTCAGGACACCTGTGAGCAGCTCACCGTATGTCAGGGGTGGAGAGAGTGTGATGCAGCAAGAGTGAGGCTGAGAGTCCAGACACTGTGTCCGTGTGCTCAGTATCCTGGGACGAGCCTGCCCATCCTCGCTACACAGCGGTTTGTGGTCTGTAGACAAAATATTCATGGCAGACCTCTGCCCTTCCCATTGAAGGTAGCAAGGGCTTCGGTTTGAAGGTAGGTTTGGAGATCCCCTCCTAGCATCTAGGCTTGTTTTTTGTGTCGTATTAGAATAATTTATTTAGTCAAAAACACCCACGAACACCACCACATCCTGCTTTGCGCTTTCAGGGGTCTTAGCTGTTCTGAGTTGAGGACATGGCCCAGGGGCCTCCCAATGGGAGTGAATTTTGTCCAAGGAAGCACCTGAGGCACTGAATCACTTTGCTGTGCACCTTAAGCTAACAAATTACTGTAAATCAGTCAGCAATACCTCAATTAGAAAAAATGATACTCCCTCATCAAACATTGTTCTAAAATGTGTGAAGGTTTTCTTTCAATTGTTGGTTCTTAGTATGTGTCTAATTGGTTTGGTGGTGGTTTGTGAGGTAGGGATCCAACTTACTTTCCTGTATGGGTACCAAATTGTCCCAATGGGAAGTTTCCTTTCTCCTTTCTCCTGTAAATGCCCTTTCTCCGTTTGCATATTAAGAAGCTCTTTTTAAAAATCCTAAGTATCAAGAACTTCAGGTCTCTGGTAATTTGTGGAGCACCCCAGAGACATGTTTCCATTCCTTTCTCCTGCATTTAGCTATTGCCAGTTTCTAGTATACACAAGTGCCCTCAGAGGGTTCTCTGTAGTGAACCACGAATGTTTCCATGAGGACCGGGAATGTGAGCACAGAGGAGGGGTGAGTCCATAGTACCTCTGACCGTGCTTAGCAACCCGAACATTAAGTCTGGCTGAAACTGCCTAAGACAAGCTGTGTTTCTTCCTTTTGGTGTCTGGATGTGCACAATAATTAGTTGGTAGATTGGGACTTGGGTGTTTGGGTCCAGAGGAGTAGAGAAAGACCCATAGCCTGCTTTTCCATTATTTTTCTTCCTCTGGGCTCTGCTGAGCTAGTGTGGAAATACTTCTGCTAAAAGCTTGAGAGGTACTCGATCCTTCTGCTTCCCATCTCCTGCCTTGTCTGTACTTCTGTCATTTAAAAAAAAATATAGCTAATTCTCAGTGTTGTTAGTGCTTGTTGCATTCTGAAACTTAGACACCTGTGGTTTAATAGACCTCCAGCTCCCAAGACCTCTTTGGCAGGTGGAGACATAGAGAACTCGTGGAGAAGCATTGCATCACACTGGAGCCTGGACCAGAGAGAAGGTCCTTGCCAGGAAGCCTCCATCCGTGCTGTGGGGGGGGGGGGGGGGTCGGAGTTATCACCTCTGATTGTGCGTCCCCTGGGCCCTTGGTGCAGGCCCCACTGTGAGATCTGGAAAGGACATGGCTTCCCTCCCTGACACAAAACTAGTATTTCTCTTTATCCTGATCCTCATCCAGTCCCATTTGGCTCCCAGGCTCAACCCTGGACCCTCACCCACAGGATCAGGGGAGTCCAGTTCTAGAGGAGTTTCATACAAGGAGAGGCTCCTTGAAACACTCCATCCCCAGGAGCCTAAATAAGCATTTCCTTGGAGTTTCAATACCCTGAGAGGAGATACTGGGTCTGTATCCATTTTACTGTTGAATACGTTGTGCCTCAGATCATTGTGTGGTTTGCCCTGGGTCACTCTGCAGGTCAGCGGGTGAGCTGGGATTTGAACCCAGACTCCATGTCTTGGAGTCCATGACTGTACAGGTGTTTCTGCTCCTTGGTTAAATTTATTTCAGATTTTTTTTTTATGAATTCGTATATGGGACTACACTCTTCTCTCTCTGATGGTTCATATCCTGCTATCTTGCTGAATTTATTAGTTTTAATAGTCGTTACTTGGTGTAGTTTTTACAGTTTCACATAAATGTTGTCATAATAGAATAGTGACAGTGTTACTTCTTCTGTTCCAATGGGGATGCCTTTTATTTCCTTTTCTTGCCTAGTTACTCTGGGTAGGACACTTCCACTACTATGTTGAACAAAATTGGTGAGAGTGGGCATCTTTCTACTATTCCTGATCTTTTCAGAGAATCTTTCACCTTTTTACCACTGAGTTGGATATTAGCTGTGGGCTTGTCTTATATACCTTTTAGTATGTGCCATGTATAACCAAAGTATTGAGAGATTGTATCAAAATTGATATTACACTTTGTCGAAAGCTTTTTCTGCAATTATTGAGAAGAACACATGATTTTCTTCTTAATTTTGCTCATATTGTGTATCATATTGATTGATGTGCAGATAGTAAATCACCCTTGGTGACAGGATAAATTCCATTTGATCATAAGGCATGATTCTTTTCATGTATTCTTGAATTTGGTTTACTAATATTCTTTTGAGGATTTGTACATCCAGGTACACCACGGTCAGGGTTCTCTGGTGGTTCATATGGTAAAGAATCTGCCTGCAATGTGGGAGACCTGGGTTTGACCCCTGGGTCAGGAGGATCCCCTCGAGAAAGGAATGGCTACTCACTCCAGTATTCTTGCCTGGAAAATTCTGTGGACAGAGAACCTGGTGGGCTGCAGTCCATGTGTCACAAAAAATTTGACATGACTGAGTGACTCACACTTAACAGGGTTCTTCTTGACATTCTTAATATCTAAATTTAAGATTTTTATCTCAGTGAAAAATTATAGTCAAAGGCAAAAATGTCAAAAGTCAAAGAGTTCTTAGAAGTAAATGACAATAAGGCAAAAGAGATGAGAGCAAGGACTCCACATAATTTACTTTTCATAAGAATTTTAGGTCTTCAGAGGAATTCTCACTAAACTGTATAGAAAATGCAAGCTTTAGTTTAAAATATAAACCTTTTTAGGGGTTATGTTTCTTTCTTTTTTTTTTTTTTTACAAAATGTCCAAAGCTGCATTATTTGTAATAGTTAGAAACTGGAAACAGCCCAGAAGCCCATCAAGAGACCAGTATATTTATACAATGGAATCATACACAATAATAAAAAGTGATGAACTATTGCTATACTCTACAATAGGGATACATTTCAAAATAGATACATTGTGTGAAAGTAGAAAGTACACAGCAAAATAATACATACCAAATAATTATATTTATATATAATTCTAGGAAATACAAATTAGTATATAGGGAGAGAAAGCAGATTAATGGCTACCTAACTATGGGACAGAAAGCATAGTAGGGAAGGTATTGGAAAAAGAATTACAGAGGAGTGAAAGGAAGCTGGAAGGCATAAATACTTCATTATTATGATTGTGGTGAGCAATTCATGTACACGTGTGAACTAAATAAATTATACATTTCCATATGTGCAATTTATTGTGTGTGCATGCATGCTCAACCACTTCAGTCCTGTCTGACTCTTTGCAGCCCTAGGCTCCTCTGTCCATGGGATGCTCCAGACAAGACTATGGAGTAGGTTGCCATGTCTTCCTCCAGGGGATCTTCCTCATCCAGGGATCGAACCCATGTCTCCTGAGTCTCCTGCAGTGCAATCAGATTCTTTACCGCTGAGTCACCAGTTGCTTCAATCCTGCCTTCTCTTTTGAACTTCCCTGACTCAGAACAGAGAGGCTGCAGTCTTTTCTTATCCCTAGCCTCAGCTCAGCTTTTCAGCAGAGCATCATGGCAAGCATGTGAATTCCAGGGTCAAGTTTGTCTTGATCCCTAGCTTGATCCTATCTTCTTTTGGATGAAGAATCTCAGGTAAGTTGTTTAAATTTTTTCCTCACATGTCTAGGTGATGCGTCCTGTCTTTCAGCAGCAACTGAGGAATGTCTGGATCATGAACTCCTCCCTTCGAAGACAATGGGCTGCTTTTCTGGGCGCCTGATGTCCTCTGCTAGCGATCAGAAGTTGTTTTGTGAAATTTGCTCCAGGGGTTATGTTTCTATGATGAGGCTGAAATCTTTATAATTTATGTATAAGATATTAAGGAATACTGTGTAGCTATTAAAATCATATTTTCAAAACCTTTAATGATATTTATAAGCACTAATATATAGTGGAAAAGTAGCTAGGAATAGATGATCCCTTATAGCTTTAGATGACAGTACAGACGTGTTGAATGATAGTTTTCGGATTGTACTTATTTATTTTTAGTTGAAGAATATCTGCTTTACAATGTTTGGTTGGTTTCCCTCATACATCAACACGAATCAGCCATAAGTATATTATCCACTCTTTGGCGAGCCTCCCTCTCACTTCCCACCATCCCACCGTCTAGGCCATCACAGAGCATCATGCTGGGCTCCCTATGTTATACAGCAACTTCCCACTAGTTAGTTTGTTTACATATGGTTGTGGCTGTGTTTCAGTGGTACTCCCTCAATTCATCCCACCCTCTCCTTCTCCAGCTGAGTTCACAAGTCCTTCCTCTACATCTGCGTATCTATTTCTGCCCTTCATGTGTTTACCAGTACCATTTTTCAAGCTTCATGTGTATGCATTAATATACTATATTTGTTTTTCTCCTTCTGACTTACTTCACTCTATCACAGGTTCAAGGTTTATCCATCTCAGTTAAGATGATTCAAATTTGTTCCTTTTCACGGTGGAGTAATATTCCATTGTGTATGTGTTCCACAACTTCTTTACCCACTGTTCTATTGATGGACATTGGGTTGCTTCCATGCCCTTCCATGCTATGTTGAATAGTGCTTCAGTGGTCATTGGGGTACATGTGTCTTTTTAGAGTTATGGTTTTCTCAGGGTATATGG